TTTTAAGAAAAAAAGGTTCAATAAAATATTACTGAGAAAATTTTATTCAATGATTTCGATATTCACTTTGGTTGTTCTTATTATTTCGAACACGTCTGTATTTCCACAACAGATCGCGCTCAACATTTTCAAATTGCAGCTTTTTTTAGTGACAAGTACAAGACTACATGAAACACGTACGCACATATTATGAACGCCCTGTACCTACGCACATCGGGTACTTACATTCATTCGTATTCGCAACGCAAATCGTACGATAACACACATTTATGATTTGTCCAATTAATTTGCAAGTTAGACGCAAGTTTTCAGTTGCGTTATTTGTTGTTGTAGTGTACATATGAAAATTCGCGAGAGTATACCCAGTAATCCAATAGGTAATCAACACAAAAAAGGAAGAAATAGAGACATAAATACATTATGAGATACATAGGTAATGGGAAAGCATAACAACCAAAGCGTTGAGAAACCGAAAATATGTGAAAGCAAAAAGCAAAAAAAAAAAGAAGAAAGACAAATGCATAAAATATTATATACTAAAAGTACAATATCATAAGTGGAAATATAAAAAGGAGAGGGAAGTTTAAGCGTCTTTACAAAAACCAATGTTAAAATAGGATAAAAAACAAGAAAAACATAAAATGAGTTACCAAAAGCGGCTGGAAATAAATGAACTGCGAGCAATATAGTTAAAAGAGAAAATATGTAATATGACTTGGCGATAGTTTTTTTCGCATTTTCGTCGAATAAAGTCAGTTTTGGAATTGTTTATAAAGTCATCATCAAAGAAGAAAGCATAGTAAGACCTAAGTTTTGGAAAAATAAATGAACAAATCCGACCGCTATGGTTTGAGAAGGTTATGTGTTAGTTCTGATCTGATTCAGTGATATTATAGCTCAACTATCAGCTATGAGCTTTGCAATACAGTCGGCGAAATTATTATTTCTATATCCTGCTATGTGAAAGCTATTTAAGGACAGATGAAGACGTTTTCAATATTAAGCAGCAATGTCAGCGTCCTTACGGTTTCGGTCGGTGAACACAACTAAAAGACAATTAAAACAAGATAAAAAGTCTCCTCAAATGAAAAAAGGGTTCCATACAGGTAATAGATTCCGACCGTTCAATTTGTATGGCAACTATATGCTATAGCGATCCAATTTAGAGAATTTCTTCGTAGAACGCATGTATGGTCTTAAACAATAACCCTTGCCAAATTTTGAGCAGATATTTCGTCAATAGAAAAAGTTGTCCATACATGTAATAGATTCGGATCTCTGTTTGTGTGGCAGCTATACGCTATAGCGATCCGATCTAGAGAATTTCTGCATAAAGTACATATATATACCAAATTATAAGCAGAGAACTCTTCAAATGACAAAGTTGTCCATACAAGTCATAGATTCCGATCGTTCATTTTGTATGACAGCTATATGCTATAGTGGTCCGATTTCGGCCATTCTGACAAATGAGCAGCTGCTTGGTGAGAAAAAGACGAATGCAAAGTTTCAGATTAATATCTCAAAATCTATATCCAGACAGACGGTATTAATGTATAAATTTTAAGCGGTCTCTGTCGATTTCGCTTGGTTTTTTGGAAGCAAACATCGTTCCAAACTTATTATGGTTACCAGTTCAGAGTATAATTAAACCTCTCAACTAAAATTTGTTATACCAAGTTAAAGAAAACTAGATACTCGTTTTGGTTCAAAATTCGAATATCTCTTTTACGATAGCTTCCAACACGTATGAAATATTTAATGTAGATATAACGTCCGCAGACTCAGAATCTCAATTCATTCTAGGTGTGCCATGAACTTAAACGAAATTTAAAAAAAATTCCGAAATAAAAACAAGACAATTATAGGACAAAAGCCAACAAAAAAGAGACAGAATACACACATTGGTCTAAATATAAAAAATTATATATACTCAACCTACAATGACTTACATATGAGCAAAAAAAAAACTACCTTCCACAAACCTTCGAACCTCCCTAATAATAAACTATTGCTATTGGCGAGGCATGTCTTTGCAAGAGATTTGCTATGCCGATTGATTTTAATTGAAATTAGTCAAACGCTGAACACATTCTAAACATTCAGATTGGTAAAGTGTTCCGAAAATGTGTAATGTGTGCATACAACGCAAGCAACTGCCGCACCCTTACCTTATTGCTGCCGAAGAAGCTGAAGATCGCTGTGCGTTTCTTGACGCCTTTGCTAATGGTGCCCTTGACGGTGAAATGATTTGAAAGCACACGGGAATCTAGCGGTGAATCGGGATTATGTTTCGACAAATCATCGAAGGGTATGTCGGTTGGTGGAGTGAAGCCCGATTGATATCTGAAAGCATGAAAAAGTATTTAAATAAGCACTTCTTCAATAGACTTTTATTTTTAAGAGCAACAGCAAACCTTTCTATGACTTTGAAGGAGTCTTCCTTTTCGTTTATTGACTCGCCCGCTTTGACAATGCCCTCCATACACCGTGCAATGATGGGCGCCACCGCTGATTCGACCTCTGCTGTGCCAATGATGAATTCACGTATGCCACCTGTGCGCTTCTCATCCAGCTCTTGTAGGCGATTGAAAACCTGTGTAGCGTAAATGAGTTTTTAGATTATATTTTTTTCATGAAATCGCTTTAACGTTGTAACGACATACTGTTGGCAATGCGACACCGTAGTGCTGCCTTTGTAAATTGTTTGTCTTCTGCAGTTGATTGGCATATTCGTTTTTCGCATCGTCCGATTGTTGTATTTTCGCTGTCATTATATTCTTATAGCGTTCCACTTCGGCTCGACTCAAATTCAGATCCATATCGGCTTTCTTGTGATTCTCCACAGCTCTTTCCGACTCGCGGAAGGCCTTCTCGTAGTTGCGTTTGGCACGATCAAGTGCGCTCAACTGTGCGGTAAGGGTCTGTTGTAGGGATGTGCCTTCATTAAGACATCGCTGTAAGTGGAGAAGTTTTTTTTTTTTTTTTTTTGAAATATTATTACTTTTATTTGAGATATTAGTTTTCTTATCATAACGCTTACCTTTCGTTCATCTCGTAACGCTTTGGAGAGCACTTGTATGCCTTGCACGATGCGTTGCTCCAGTGATTCGGCGACTACTTCGCGCTGGCCCGCTAAGTCGTTGATTTCTTTCAGCACATTGCGAAAAGCTTGGCAGGATGAAAATCTGTGGGTAAAAAAAATTTCAAACAAAATGTGTTTATTAAAATTATAGTCGTAATTTAAAAAGAAAATCGTTGTAAAAATATAATAAAAAAGATATATTTTGGTGTTAAGGGGTTACTACGTGGGCTTTAAAATTTCGAAAAAATTATTTTAATTTATTTGATTTTGTTTTTAAATCTAGAATATTTTCCAAAAGCTTTGAGATAATCGAAATAAAAGTATAGGAGAATCGTCAAGCTAGACTAGTGGCTACTTCAATGTTTTTTTCGCAGCATCGTTTTCAAAGTCGATATACACGATTTCTCAGAAACTAGTAAAACTGTTTTTTTTTTGTTTTGTTTAGATGAATTCTTGGTATATTATGCCTTTTTGGGCGGTGTCTCCAAGACATTTCTTTACATAAAGTTCAAGTGCCAATATGACAAAGAACCGCTCGATGTAATGAAAATAAAAGAGGGTGAAGCCCATTTACGTAAGAGTCAGAATCGTTTTTTTTTTTTTTTTGTCATATGACTGGCGCTGGGACTCCGTGTCACGTCACGTGTGGACGGCATTTCAAGCTCCTTACGTACAGCTGCAAACGAAACCACTGATTTTCGGGGAAAAGCTAAAGAACAGCGGGTACAATGGGGACCACCATTAGACTCCTTCTTGTGGGGTTATTTTAAGTCATTGATACTTGGCAATAAACCAGACTCTTTCAGGCTTTAGAAGTCAATATTTAACGTGTTATTCATGGCAGCCTACTTAATTTAGTGGAAAAAGTACTCGAGACTCAACTCAACTTCCTTGACAATCAGTATGTTTTGTTCTCTAAAGAAATTATATCACTCTTATTGCAAAACCCTGTACTAGTTCGACTGCCTTCAAATATTACTATTGCAATAACTCATGTTAAACTTTTGAAAAGCACTGTATGCTGTTTGAGAAAATTTACTCGCTACTCGTTACTTATGCGTGTGCTGTTTGAGAAAATTTACTCGCTACTCGTTACTTATGCGTGTGTTGAGTCAGCCAACGTAACCAGAGCCATGATAGACGTTCTCTGACGTAACTTTACGTTCTCTGGTTGAGTGCGCCATGAAGAGTCCACGAGTGCGGACAATCTTTTAAATTTTTACAATTCAAACAAAGCGCATGCCAGTGAACAGCGAGAGACAAAACAAAGAGCGCGAGAGTGTTTATTGTGGAACGTAACAGTACAACAGCATTGCCACTGGCAATTTAAACAGCAATCTGTAAATAAATATATATCTACATACAGTTGAACTTCTCTAACTCGAATCAACGTAATTCATAAAAAATTAGTTCAAGTTAGGGAGACTTCGATACTTTATTCTGTGTTAATTAACTGTTCAACTATAAAGGTCGGAGATTATTTATTCATATTCTAAAATTATCTATCTTATGACAGAAAGTGAAACACGTTTTTTTTTTTTTTTTTTTGATATAAAAGAAAGAAGAACACTCGCCATATTTTCGAAACTATTTAAACACTTGTGGTGCAACTAAAATTTACAACATAGTTTAGGGTCAAGGTGTGTGTCTTCGCTGAGCAAAGTTTTTGGCTCTAAAAAATATTCTATCCAATCAGCTATAGTGCGTCGGACATCATCATCTCTGTTTATGCTTCAGGGTGACCTATTCTGCTAAGAATAAGATTCTAAGAGACGCTCTAAATATTCCTGCTCAGACTCCGAAGATAAAATATAAAGTTCCAATATATTTGTGCTTTGTTGAGAGTAGTGTTTAGGGTCTCAGGCTATGTGTCTTTGCTTAGAAAAGTTTTTAGCTTTAAAAATGCTCTAAATAATCCGCTGTAGTGCGTAGAATCAGTTAGATACAAGATACAGGAAGTAAAATTTCTAATGCGGTTTTCTCGAAATCATGATTCTCCAATTGAAACTCTGAGACTAACGCATGTCTTCGCTTGAATTCTTAATTCACAAGTCAACGACTGTGCAAAAAACAAAAAAGAAAGCATTGGACAAATATAAACAATCATACTTTGCCAGCTAGTCTTATGTGGTTTAAGAACACTTTTCTGGTTCTAATAACAACCAAATGTGTTACCGTAGACTCACACAGGCGCCATTTTGTTTCAAAATGTCAATTAATTATAGACTCAGAAACACGTTCACGTTAGGCCATTGTTTTTGAAGGATTAGAAGAAAACAAAGATTGAATAACTCCATTTAAAAAGTTGAGAAAAAACTATAAAAATGGTGATTTTATATTATAAGTGTGTGTCTTTGCTTAGCGAAGTTTTCCACTTTGAAATATTTTTGTTTCTGCTATTTTTTTGAGGCTTAGCTAATATTGTTTGCCTTAATGAGCCTACTATTTGAGTATACTATTTTCTTTTTTTACCCAACAACACTTTTAAATAAGTATTTTATTCTCATAAGATATGAGAGATAGGCAAAAAAAATAAACTTTTAGTGTCTTCTGAGGTCTATTAACGTGGTCACAATATATTGTAATAAACATATTTAAGGTTTATAACGCTGCTTCTGCTATTAATTCACATAAAATTAAATAGATAACTGTGGCACATCGTTCTTATGCCCTTTCGTTCTACGATTATACTCTGCATTTCCTAAACTATAACCGATTACTATTCAAAATCATTTCTACACCACAGCAATTTAAGGAAAAAATGTAATCAAATCACTCAAAAAGACGCTACAAATTATCGTGGTTGCCGCAACGTGCAAATTCCATGCAAATGATGTGCAATTTGTCACGCTTAAGCCGCTGGCAGAGAATGGCGCATTAAGTCAATCGAAATTGTGACAAGCCAACCATAAATGGAGGCGCATGAAGAACACTAAAGTATTGAAAAATATTACATAAATGAGCAAAAAAGCAACGAAGAAAACGAAGAAGCGTGCGTACGCACACAAGTAATATTGGGAAATGACGGGAGGAAGACGACGGTGCGTATGAGCAACATGACGTCAGTAACCTTTAAAAAGACAATGAATGTGAGGCATGGCGTTGGATGTGGCGCCAAGTGTACAGCAATGGCAAGTGCATATTGACGAACACATAGCTGTATATGTAGGCAGCCACACACACAGACGCACACATAGCGAGAGCAATACACAAACATACATATATGCAATTGAAGCAGCGAAACGGAACAAGTGAGTGAGTAGGAATTTTTAAAGCGTTTTGCATACCAAAGCGTTTAAGCAGCAGCATTTAAATGCCAACAACAACAACAAGAGCACCGACAAAACTAATTAATTACACCTTCAATTTGATGTTTTACAAGCGAAAAAATGGATTAATTGCTGTCAAGTTTCGCAACTTTGACGAGCGTAGTTTGGCTAAAATTACGAAAAAGACGCTTATGCGCATAAAATGCAGGTGCGCATATAAATATTTACTGTGTATGTGTGTTGGCGTGTTTTCTCACAATTTTAATGAAATTTTACAACCGCACAAAAGTGGAATGCTTCAAGTAGCGAACGCCCACACGCTCAGGCGGCTGGGCGGCTAATTGCGTCAAAGGCGAGCCACACGCACAAACAAGCGTGCGAATAAACAAATGTGCTACCTATGTACATATACATACATATAAATATGTATTTACATAGTATGTATGATAAAGAGAGCAAAAGAGCAGCGCATGAAATATGGAAAATATTTAGATGAAAAGCGCGTATTTTTTTTTTCACAGCCAATTCGGCGCAGATAAAGGCCAGTGATGTTTACAAAAACAACAAGCATCCGATTTTGAAGTAAATGGTCAGTGAACTAAAATGTTGCGGAAAATAAAATAATTCTTTCAAAATTGTATTTTAATTTTTGCAGACAAACAAGGGTTGAGAGGAAATAAACATCACAAAATCGTTTACAGTTATTTCAAAGAAAACATTTTAAATTAAAGAATTAAAAAAATATATAAAAAAAATGTTTATTAAAAAAATTTAAGTTAAAAAAAAAATTAGGTAATGCATAAACATTAAAATTAAATTTAGCAAAGTATACACTTCAGATATTTAAATATGGCCAAAAGTGTGAATAACAAGCAAGAAAGGGCTACGTGCGGGAATAACCGCACATTTTAGTAATACATTCAGCCACATAAGACATGTTATATTGAGTCCAAGGCAAATTTTCACCCCATTCTAAGCACAAGGATGCAATGTTCTAAAAACAAACACGCTCTTTCAATTTATTAAGATAACTCACTTTTTGACCGGTATATGCAGTCATCCGTCAAGTTCAAAAATATTTATATTAGGAATATGGGGGCTCAGGGAAGTATTACCCCGATCCAACTCAACAGATAGACATACAACTATCACGAAATGATTTTCTAAGAATTTCCAATTCGGTACATTGACCAATATTTCATGTAAAAAGTCAACAATGTGGGGTCGACATATTCCGTGGCTTCAACAATTTTGGTCCGATTCGGAAAATTTCTGCTCATTAGATTACATATATTTCAAAGGCACTATTCGTGCAAAGTTTTATCTCGTTATATTAACTGCTTCTTGATTTATACTCTCGAAAGGCAAGAATCAGATGGAATTTGAATTATGTGTTATATGGGAAGTAGGCATACTTGTAGTTCGATTTCGTTTCATAGTGAGGAAAATATAGCAGCCGTAACTGAGAGTGTACACGAAGAGCGTGGAGAGTCGAGACCGCGCCATTCGCACTAACTCGGTTTAACGTACGGAACGACTTGGCGCATTTTACGTCGAGCTCTTAAATTGAAAGCGTACAAAAGAGAGCTTATGAAAGAAATGAAGCCGCTCGACCTTTCCATATGGCAACCGTTATCGGACCATGACAACCGACTATTTCATGACTGAAATTGAAGCTCGTGATCTCGGCGACAATTGGTTTCAACAAGACAACCCCACACATCGCATCAATCAATGGATTTATTGGGAGAACACTTCGGTGAGCAGATAATTTCCCGATTTGGGCTGGTCGATTGGCCAGCAGGATCGTGTGATATCACAAAGTTAGACTTTTTACTGTGAGGATATAAAGTCTTAAGTCCCGCTTCGATTCAGGCCTCGGAGCGAAACATCGCGTGCGTCAGCCGCCAAGATTCATCGAAAATTGGACACAACGAATTAACCATCTGAGACGTAGGCGCTGCTAACATTTGAAAGAGATAATCTGCAAAAAATTAATTCCAAAAAATTTTCTTTCGAATCATAATAAACATTCCTTATTAAATTTGTAGTTTCTGTGCTTTTTCTTTAAAAAAGTGGGGACCCTCCAAATGGATAAACTTATCATATATGTATGGTGTATTAGCAAAATAGTTAGAAGCAAAAATAATATTACATAAAAGTAAATATATGTATGTATATATAAGAAACAAAGCGCACAAGTGTAGGTGACTGAGAATATAAAATGCCTTTTATTCGATAAAAATAATTGAACTCATGGAACGTACGTACAAATTGGCTGGCAGCCAATAATTTGCAATATAAGAAAAATTTTGCTTAATTACGAGTATTCGCCCATGAGTGGACGCATGACGGGTTCATAAAAATATAGGTTATATATTATATTATATTAGATTTTCAAAAAAGTCTTGCGGTATTTTCGCTAGTTGGCGCTGAAGCGCGTAGTTCTAGTTTTATTCGTCGCATCGGGTCATGCTATACCTTTTTGGAAAGCTCATTTCACGCGCTAATACGTGTTTGATTGATTGTCCTTTCTTTCAAGTCGTTCGTAAGTTATAGCGTCGCAAACATGGAGCAAAATAAAGAGAAAATACGGCATATTTTACAGTACTACTACGATAAAGGCAAAAATGCATCTCAAGCCGCCAATAAAATTTGTGCAGTTTATGGACCCGCTACAGTTTCCATTTCCACCGCACAACGATGGTTTCAACGTTTTCGTTCTGGTGTAGATGTGGTCGAAGATGCGCCACGCTCCGGAAGGCCTGTCGTCGAAAATTGCGATAAAATTGCTGAATTGGTCGAAAGAGACCGGCATAGTAGCAGCCGTAGCATCGGTCACGACCTGGGCATGAGTCATCAAACCGTTTAAAAAAAAAAAAATTAAATACCGCAAGACTTTTTTGACAACCTTTTTTTTATTTTTTGTTTACAAGTAAATTAGTAAATTTCATGAGATTTTCATATTGATATCTCAAACAAAAATATGCCATTAAAATGGCAAGGGGAGAACATTACACGCCGCAAAACAGGGTGCTTATGTGCAAAAAGGTCAAGCTTCTGCTGAAGTTTCTGAAATAATGTACTGCTCTCGAAAAATAGTAAATAATGTACTCAAAACAACTAAAGATATCAAAAAACCAAAACCACGTAAACCGATATTACTGTTGACAAAACCATAGTACGGAAGAACAAAGACGATCCTTTTAAATTAGCCAGAGAAATTAAGATCGAAGTTATTGATGAATATATCATCGAAGCTCAACTTTTTAGACGAATTAGCAGAAAGGAACCACTCCTGTTAAAATGCCACTTCCAAATTCGAGGGGCTTACAAAGACAAACCAGCAAAAATTTGGAGGAACGTGCTTTGGAGCGACGAAACCATGATAAACCATGGGTCAAGACGGAAAAACATTTGTAAGTCGTCCCCAAGACCTTAACTCTAGGTATACCAAAAAAAAACTATTAAGCACGGCGGTGGAAGTATCATGGGCGCGTTTTCATGTCACGGCGTCGGACCAATTGTTCGAATAAATGGTAAAATGGACCGGTAGGTCAGTATTTGGATAAACTGAAAAATAAAAGAGAGCTACTTGCTTTTGAGTACATGTCAATAAACTGAACATTTATGCAAGACAATGATCCGAAGCACACCACAAAACCAGTAAAACATGAGCTCGAAGTGGAAAAATTAGACAATTAAACTGGTCCGGAACTGTATCCAATATAAAATTTATGGGATGATGTCAAGACCAAAACAGCAAGCAAAAAATTCTAAAATTTTGATTTTGGGCTGGAATTGAGGAGGCTTGGTATACAACCCTAAAAACACGATGTCAAAAACTGGTGGACAGCAAGCAGCGAAGATGTGTAGGGGTGATTAAAAATGTTGAATAAACCATTTTCAGACTATGTGACCGTAGATACTTTACAAGGTCTCCATGTTCGTATTTTTCTCGCAAAACAATTTAGTATAAAGTAAGTGCAATATTGACAAACAACCTTACAATAAATATGAATTCACATTATTATCAGCAAAGTAACAAATCGCAAGTAAAATGCATGGATGGAATCTGGTTAGTAAGCGGTTAGCCAATGCAACTGGTGCATGACATTGTTGCGTCTAATAGCGCGAGTCCAAACAATTTAAAAGCTGTTACTTTAAAAATAAATAAAAAATTAAAATAGAGACGAATAAACGCTGGTTGAGGGTTGCACGCAACGGTAGTTGTTGCTTGTGCTGTTAATTGCATTTTCATGCAACAAAATTGGAGCCGCAGAACAACCAACTCAAACGTTGCAAACAAATTAATTAAATTAAAATAATTATTTATTTATAGATATAGAAATGTGTTAGTAATACATGTTAAATGCATAAACGGCATACTTACTCGTTGTCTTCCTCCTCCCGCTTTTTCGGCTGGTAGCTCTTCGCCAAGCGTCTGCAAGTGAAGAAAAAGAGAAAATTATTAATTAAATGCTTCGGCAAAGGAAAATATATGAGAATACAAATGAATATAATTAAATTTATTTAAATAAAAATATATTTCTTTCAAGAAAATTCAACCACATATACATATATTTATGACTTAATTATGTGCAAGCGCTATGTTATCAGCGCTAATACATGCAAATTATGCCTATTGAATTTTCTTATATGAATATGCAAAATAGTATGTGAATTTATATAAATATATACATACATCTATGTACATATACATACATATGTAGCACATATAGCGCGAAGCAGTCCTCACTCACGTTGCAAGTGCAAGCGCATGCGCGGCGCCAGTTGTGCGCTTGATGAGCATCAGCGCCGGTACCCACTGTACACCGACATAGCGTGTGCTTGCAAGAAAGTAGCAATAACAACAACACACATACTTTCAGTGAAGCAGTCAACAAACCACTCATCCATCTATTCGTCCAGCTATCCACCTATTCAATCATTCAACTATTTAATGATGGATGATTCGGTTGAAGGCATTGTAAATCTGCGCAGCCGCGCAACTGAACGAATTAACGAATGCATGCTTCGCGCTGATGGATCGTGTTTATTTAGCTGGCTGCTTCGGCGGCTTGTTAGCTGCACATTCGGCCAGCGAGCAAATCACACTTTAATTGAGCAGATTATGTTTTCAATGTGAATTGCTTCAGAAAAGTTGTGAACAAGTTCAAAAAAAAAAAAAAAAAATTACAACAAAATATGTAAGAAATGTTCAAAAATACAAGCTGAGATTTCGCTCGGCGGAATTAAATAAAATTATATACTATTAGGAACAAAAATTAAAATAAAACATCTACCAAATTGAAAATTAAAACTCCTAATGAGTATTTCAAATTTTAAATTAACTAGAAAATAATCCAAAAAATATTTACATAAATTTCACTTGAATACAAATTTTTAGCCAAATCTGATGAGTTACTACTATAAATCAACTTTCAATTAGCTGTAAGGGGTTTGCGAAATATTTTTGCTGCCTTTTTCAGTCACGAGGTTTTATAATCTGTGAGCAAAAAATTGTGAGACTATGCTCATAATTTGAAACACCTTAATTTATTCTCCAAATCTACATATGTCGTCCCCCACAGAGTAATCACCTTTGGTCCAATACACTCCCCAACTGTCCCAACGTTCTATAAGCCTCGAAACAGTAGTGGTTAAAATAAATTTCCATAATAGCCTCAATGCGCATAGCGATTTACCATACGTTTAATGTCTTCGATCGACTGAAAACGGTGTCCCCGCAGAAACCAGAGATCACAAGATGCTAAAATAGACGAATACGGTGGTTGCGGCAAGGTATTTGTTGAAAATTTGGAAAAGTATGTGACAGTATATTATCGAGGTGAAAAAACCCCGAGCTGTCAACCCATTATTCTGACCTTATTTTACGAATAGCTTCGCGCAAGCGGCGCATATCTCTGAAATAGTATTTCTTGTTGACGGTTTGGCCGGTCTCAAGGAATTCGGAGTGCAGCACACCTCTATAATCGAAGAAATCTATCAACATAACCTTGACTTTTGACCCCCTTTGACGTGGTTTTTACGGCTGCGCCTCAGCTTTGTCATTCGGTCCACTAATCGTCTGTTTCCGGGTCCTAAGTTCAGATTCAAAACTCATCGCCAGCAATAATATTATATGTTTTTGGCACCTTGGTAGTCGGAAAGCATTGCTTCACACACTTCAAATTAAAGCGACGCTTTTTTTTTTTCGAAAAAAATTTAGTGATATTGGAACCAATTGCGCTTTAACATTTCCTACACTGAAATTAGTTAGTTTTTTAAATGGTTTTCACTGATCCTTCCTTTATTCCACAACGACATCACTACGATCTCTGACTGCTAATCGTCGGTTCTTAAGCACCAATTCCTTTATTTTATTAACGTGTTAGTTATCAGTTGATATTAATGGCTGTCCTGTACATGGTACATCGTAGTCAACGCGTTCTCGTTCCTGTTTGAATAATTTGTACCAACGAAAAACACTTGCTGGCGACAAGCAATTATTACTTATTTAAAAAAATAAGGTGACATTTGAATTTAAACTGCGTGTGGAAGGATTTGGAGAATTATTTTTTCTTATGTTGGTAGTACTGTCAGTCATATTTATATCAAATTTCATGTCAAAATATTCATTACTGTTTGCGAGCTGCTAAAAGTGAGTTTTTCGTTTTTCACGATGTCGAAATTTGTTGAGCAAAGAATTTAAAAGATTTTGAGGATGGTGCAGAAAGCCTTTGGTGATAAGGCTATGTCTAAAAAAAATGTTTACAAGTGGTATAGATAGTTCCAAGCCGGCCTTGAACGTGTCGAAGACAAAGAGCGTCCAGGGCGACCATCAACAAATCAAAGATTTGGTGTTGAAAAACCGTCGATTAACAATTAGAGACCTTGCTGATGAAGTTGGCATATCGAAAGGCTCAGCCAATACCATTTTGAACGAAGTTTTGGACCTCAAGCGCGTCAAATCTCGACTAGTACCGAAAACATTGAATTTTTTGGAAAAAAGACGTCGCGTTGAAGTGTGTGAAACGATGTTTTCCGACTACCAGGGTGTCATGAAACGCATTATAACTGGCGGTGAGACTTGGATCTATGCTGACGACCCCGAAACAACCGATTAATCGAGCGAATAGAGTGCCAAAAGAGAGCCGAGACCAAAAAAATCGCGCCAAAGTCGCTCAAAAATCAAGGACATGTTGACTGTTTTCTTCGATTATGGTGGTGTTGTGCATTATGAATTCCTTCCAGCGGGTCAAACAGTTAACAAGGAAAAGACAATTCTTGGTTTTTACACCACGATAATGCACCATCCCTTACTGTCCTCGTAATTCGTGATCATTTCGCCAAAAACTCAACCCATATCGTTCCGCAACCACCGTATTCACCTGATCTKGCGCCGYGCGACTTCTGGCTGTTCACCAAGCTCAAAAGACCGCTCCAGGGACACCATTTTTCTACGATATTCAAGCCGCAGAGAAGACGGAAATTAAGGCCATCCCGGAAAGTGACTACAACTAGTGTTTCGAAGATTGGAAAATCCGTTGGCATAAGTCGTGAGGGGATTCCTTTGAAGGGGATGATATTGGTTTTGAATAATAAATAAAGAATTTTCAAAATAAATACAATGTTACCTTTTTTTTTTTTTGGGCACAGTATATCTTTACCACTTAAACCGTATCTGTGAATCAGACATGTATTTTATATGTTTTGCACAAAGTTTTAGGTTCATAAATCCAGACATATACATATGTAAATATGTATATAATATTTTTCCATCTGCACAAGTACGCAAATTAAATACCCCAAAATGTGTCGCCCTGAATGGATGGTGTGCATTATATAGTCAGCCGAAATGTGAGCGTGCAGCGCGTTTCAAGGTGCGGAAATTTATGGCGGACAATATGTTTAAAAAACGTTTGTGTCTCTGTGTATCAGGTTAACATAATATTTGCGGACTTAATTGGGCCAAGTGTATGCACAGCCAACAACGCTATTTTCGTCCGCTGCCGCCGCCGACGCGACTGCCAAAAGACTGAATTTCGGTGAAGGTTTCGCGCTCTCTTATTATTATTATTAATTTCAATTTTGGTTAAACGAACCATTTCAAGCTCCATTACATGGCGTGCGCGCTCGTTTGTAAGTGTCGGTGGCATAAAGGGTGTAATTTAGAGTTGCGTTTTGTCTACAAAGTACTAGTGTCGTGATTAGAGGACTTTTATTATACCGAGTGTGTGGTGGAATTTCAAAAGTTTGAGGAAATTTTAATATTTTCAAGTAAGCCGCGATTTCAGACATTGTTAGAGCAACTTTACTGTAAATCCTAAATATGGCAACCTTAGGCGCATGTTTAAAATCGAATTTGGTGGAAGTCTTTGTTGAAAAGCGGATGCTTATATCCGCTATTAATCATTCATTTTAAATAAATTTATAAATTTGATTTCAGTCGAAATTATTATTGAATTTCCCACGTATTCTAGCGTTCCATGCTGCTTCACACCTTCGGCATCTATTACAATTCCAAACCACCATATTCAACTTTTAGTCATCGTAGAAACAAAGTTAGACGCCAGCGACTAACTCCACCGCTTTATTATACTTTCCGCTTGTTTGGTACATTTCTATTTATTTATATTTTCATATCTTAATGTCTTCACCATTAGCAAGATCTCAGGTAGTCTAATGGCCGTTGTATGGCAGTCGCTGGTGATCGTTTGATGCCAGCTTTTCTAACTCTCGCATAACGCTCACTGCACCGTGTTGCCACAGGGCGCTTAGTTCAGCGACTGCTACATTTCCGAATTACTTAGTGTTGTTGACTTCTCTTTGATACCTTGACTTGCGACATTTGTTCACTTATATTCTTTCTTTGTTTCACTGATTTTATTTTCTTTTTTAATTTCATCTACGCCGCAAAACTTGATTGCTTGCTGCTTTTCACACGCAAACATACAAACCTTTTGATTATGTGAACTTTTTCCAATTTTTCTCATGATTAACTCGTATTTCTTGTTTAATCTCAGCTCTGATGGCTCAAGGCACAAACTCGAAACGATTAATATTCGCGAACTGACATTTAAATTTTTTAGATATCTAACTAAGCTATCGCACAGTCCTTTTCTCTACAAAAAGCAACCGAAACCTGATACCGGACCACTGATGGATCAATATCAAATCCTTATATGGAAAACTCCTTTATTTGATAAGATTTTTTTTACAAAATTTGTCGTAAATTATTGTCCAAGGCAACGCTACTATCTCCATACAAACTGACCGCTCTAAAACAAGATATACTCTCATGAAAGATCAAAACAACGTGGCCCGTTCGAGGCAAACCATTGGTTAGGTATCATTTCAGCTTTATTTTATACATATGTTTGCTAAAAGAAATGCACCTCCGAAGAGTATTATCGGTAATGCTGCAATCGAAGTTAGTAG